AGATGGAGAAGGCTTTCGCTGCAGGCGACATCCGCGCTCTGTTTCAACTGACCCGATCAACGGTTTGAAAGAGGGCAGTTGTCAGTGAGACAAGACGGAACAGCGACTCATTCCCTCAATCGCCATCTTGAGTGTTGGGCTTAGCACTTTAAAGAACAGCTCACCTGTTCTAGTTCAACACAACCGCTGGAATAACCAGGCGAGCTCGAACGGAACATTGGCACCAACCCACCATCAGCTACCGAAATCCAGCGTGAGGTTTCAATCCTGAAGCGCGACAAGGCACCTGACCCGGATGGTCTGCACCCCGCCCTCTTCAAAGAAGGTGGGGAGGTCCTGGTGAATAGGGACAACCATACTGCAAAAGATTTAGAACGAAAACAGTGGAGCTCCTTGACCGTCATCCCAGTTTATAAAAAGGGAGCAAGAACGTCATGTGAAAGCCATCGTGGTATCATTCTGGTGTCCGTCGCATTTGAAGTGCTCTCTGGCATTATTTTGCGCAAGTTGATGGATTATCGGGAGAGACAAATTCGTGGGAATCAAGCTGGCTTTGGCCCTGGTCGTGGATGCATCGACCATGTCTTTACCTAAGAAAAATTCCTTCAGACGTCCCAAGTTGGTTGTTTTTCTTGATTTGAAAGCTGCTTTTGATTCTGTCGATCGTCAGCAACTTTGGCAGAGTCTGGCGTTGAAAGGTATCCCTTCTAAATTTTTCTCTCTTACGAGGGCACTGTGTGCGAACTCCTGTGGGCACGCAGGAGTATACGGACAGCTTTCGCCTGGGTTAACCAATTCCAGGCTGAGGACAGCCTTGTCCTCTTCCCTCTTCAGCTTTGTTATTGATATGCTGCTTGAAATTTCTCTGCCTGGATCTGAAACCTTGGGAGTCGAACTGCTCCCGGGACGTTACCTCGCAAACATTGAGTATGCAGACAATATTGCTGTCCTTGTTTCAAATCATTTTCAGATGCAAGTGATTTTAAATAACCTAAATAACTCTGCCGCACTGTTTGGCATGCGTTTCACACCTGCAAAGTGTAAAGTGCTGCTTCAAGACTGGGTGGGGTCAAACCCACGCTTCATGCTTGCAGGTGACCCAATCGACATGGTAGATAAATTTGTTTACCTGGGCAGCTGCATAAGTTACGGTGGACTGGCTGGAGATGAGGTTATTTCTCTAATCGGAAAAATCATGGCAGATTTTGCCGACCTCCGACACCTATGGCGCCGACGTGACGGGGGTTTGTCAAGGCAATAGTTTACACTGCGCTGGTGCGAATCATACTGCTTTATGGATCAGAGGCGTGGCCTTTATGCGCAGATGACATACGAGAGATGCCAGTGCTTGATAATCGGTGTCTCCGCAGCATTGGTCAGGTCTGGTGGGAACATCGGATCAGTAATGCTGAGGTACGTCAGATAGTCTTAGGAAGAAGGGACTCTCCCACGATGGTTGAGTTACTCACGCTTCATAGGTTGCGCTGATTGGGATATGTACTCCGCGTGCCAGAAGACCATCCGCCTCACATAACCCCTTTCTCTCACCCCTGTGCTGATTGGAAGTGACCGAGACGTGGACAGTGTATGACCTGGCAATGAATTACGAGAACACTAACCAGTAAACTTAGTCGGTTGGGCAACTGCCGCCTCCTTGGATGGGGACCCTGGGACTAAAATCACCAGCGGTTAATGACATTGGTGGAAATACTCCTGTCGTGCTGTCAGTGACGCTCGTGCATCAGAGCTATCGCCTTCAATGCGTAGCTACCCATTCTCGGATTAAACCGAACACACCTTCGCCCTTAAAGCTTGGTTGTATGTTCCTTTTTCCCGCTTTCCGGTGATCGAAACTGTAGTAGCTGGAACCAATGTGCCTGTGGCACACGGTTTGTAGCTAATAAATTGAATTAAATTGATCCGTGCAGTGACCTTCAAGCTTGAAACGGACGGCAAGCCGATCATTCGTGTCACCTGCTAAAATTATGTACTTCACGCTGAATAGAGCGTCCATGACAACTCACGATAGAAGTTACTTTTCTCACCCTCAGAGTTACCGCCATTCAGAGCGCATGCTGCGATCATTCGTGTCACCTGCTAAAATTATGCACTTCACGCTGAATGGAGCGTCCATGACAAATCATGATAGAAGTTACTTTTCTCAGCCTCAGAGTTACCGCCAGTCAGAGCGCATGCTAACACTATTTGCTGCGTTAAGATGCACTAATCTTGACTGCTTTGGTGAGTCTAGCAGCGCAGAGACGGACAACTTTCTACTGGGATTCAGTCGAGTAAAGCGCATTCAGCCTTGGGCCTGAGCAGAATTCTCCCGCAGTGGATACCATGAGCACTTGCAATAGGATCGTTAAACATCGCAAGAGTGAAGTGCAAAAGATCTGGATTCGTCTCGAGTGGTTTGACGAAGTGGTCAACGGAACTGTGGGCTTGTATGCGTGTTTTAGGGACGACATGCACCATTCCAAAAAGAAAACAAGGCCTGAGTAAGAGCTACTTGTTTCCCAATTCAGCACAGATTTAGGAAGTTGGGAGGCTCCTCTCTTTCACTGTCACATACCTTTTCTTCCCTTTCTTCGCACCCATTAATCACTCTCCTTGTAGGCCCGTTGGTGAGCTGACCCAGTGGTTAAGCGCGAATTCCTCTCTTTCACTTTCACATACCTTTTCTTCCCTTTCTTCGCACCCATTAATCACTCTCCTTGTAGGCCCGTTGGTGAGATGACCCAGTGGTTAGAGCGCGAATTTACTGACCGGAAGGTCCGTGGTTCGAACCCGACCTCTGCCTCTCGACTTCCCCTGTCTAGGCTTGTGCAACCTTGCAATATCACAGCCCTCATGCTTTCTTCAGGTGGTATCACAGCCAGGCACCGAAAGTGCGTTACAGCCGAACTGTTAATATTACATCATAGTTCTTCAGGTGCCAAAGAAATCCGGATCCCATGCTCTCATTTAATCGACAATAATGTTCTGTTCAAAATGCAGTCCTTTTGCTTGTGATCCTCAATTATGCAATTCGTCCCCTTCAGGTGTAATTCTCGCTTTGATGAGACCGATAAAAGACAGGTTGCGGAATGGCGATACTCATAGACCGCACACTTGATTTTCCATCGCTGCACTCATCAGATTCCCAAATGGTTCCTAGACAGGTCCTCCACTTTTTAATTTTACAAGTTGGGTTGCAGTGTTGGTTTCTATGTAATCAGTTGCCTGCTTTTCTTGCAGGGTGAAACTTCTGACGACCTTAGCCGATTGTTTAGAGCGGAAAATGGACGTTTGCAAGTAATGATAAACACCCTGGGTTACATAACTCCAAGCCTTATCAGTCCATTTCAATTGACGGTCCATTATCTACGGAAAACTGTTTCAGTCCACCGGTTTTGGATAAGCTGACGGAGTTAGCATCCTTTCTGGATGAACTGACAGCCTGCTACCCTCGTTTAGTAGGATTGTCGGACGAGTTAGGCCATCAAGTGACCACTTTAAAAGTTCCTTGTGACAAGCAGAGGTAAGTACTTGCCACACGTTGCCATTTTTTCAGACGTCTTGTGCATGCCGTAGAGAAAATCGATTCACACATTCATGACCCTTCGTCTGGAATCCTTCACTTGATTCAGATGCGGAAGGGCTTACGAGAATCCGTGGTCAATGCAGTAAGTCAGCGGAAATTGATAATCTAATATCACAAAAATTAGTCACAGGAATTGGAACGATTGACAGCGGTCACTGCGTGTTTCCAACACTTTCCCCATCGGCTTTGCGATGCTCGGAGACAAATTGGTGCGACCGACGAGGCGTGATTACGACTACGATTATTGATAGTAAATTCCGGTTTTTATGTACTTGATGGACACGTGTATGTAACAAAGGGCATTTAAAAAATTTTACTTGGCCTTCTGGGCAACCGAATGAACTATATTGTTGTAAATTTTGGTTTCATTTTCTATCCCGGCCGGTATCACCAACTCCTCAGTGTCATTTGCCTCGATTGCAGCAATCACTCCTTTATAAAATTCACCCTGGGCTGCTGAAGCTTCTGCTCACATCAGCCTAATAGGTGGTGCCCCCATGAAAAAAAATCGTTCAGCTGTAGCACCCTTTTGGTGCCTAACTGCTATGTCGCATGAAGGAGGCACGAGGGCTGGGATACTGCCAGGTCGCTCAAGCCTAGACGGGGGAAGTCGAGAGACAGGGGTCGGGTTCGAACCGCGGACCTTCCAGTCAGTAAATTAGCGCTCTGACCACTTGGTTCATGTCGCCCCACATGAATTATGCAACTATTTTCGGCAGCGGCTAACAGCAACAACAAGGGCTTTAACCGCAGTACACCATTAGCCAATATTGGAGCCTAACCACTTTATATCTATGGGGAATGTGTTCTCGTGAAAGAAAGGAATAGAAAATGTTGTCATTTAGTATGTAAGAAAGCCAGATAACTAAGGAAAGTGTGCTTACATCTTCCAAACAACACAACTCCGCGTCCTACAATCGCGCCGTAGCAAGCGAATATCTTAATTTTCTTGCAACCTAGCAGGTTCCTACAGCAAAACGCTTGGAAATTTTGTATAATACGCAGTGGGAATGCTTCGGACATGCTCTTGAAATTCGATCACTTGGGTTGGTAAGTGTTGAGCTAAATAATGTCGGCAGCCTAGTGGTGTAAAATTACTTCTCTCATTCGAAGCCGTCCACAACAGGTGGGAGAGCCTTCTCTACACAGGAGTCGGTTTTTGTCGGTTTGAAATCCGTGAATCACATTTTCCCGAAAAATGATTTTTCCTCGAGAAAGATCATGATATATAGCAATATGATCGGCGAAATTATTCTTGGTTCCTTACAGGAATAGGAATGGATAAACCACATTCTCTTGGACTACCGCTAAGTCGTTTCCCACGTTTTTCTCCACCTTCTTTGAATCCTGTTACACTGATCCAACTCATAGAAACTTCTATTGGTGATCTATACAAGATACAGTATAATGGCTGTCCCTTGCACTCATCGTCACCGGCTCTTGTTGCTCACTGTTTACGTATGTTGGTCTGGCCTGAAATCGAACTTGGGCGGTTGGGTTGCTATTTCATCCCTCTACCCAATCGATCACGTAACCAAGGTCACTCCAGCCAGCACTCGCTCAAGGTTGTTCCGCTCTTTGTTCGTGAATCACATGACTGCTCTCTCTCTCTCCCTCTCTCTCTCTGTGCCTCAATGGCGCAATGGGACGGTACGTGCCTGCTGATAGCTTTTTCCTGCACCGGATATTTTTACATTCATAGCAGACTAGTTCAGGCACAATCGTCATCGAAGGAATGGCAGTCCTGGTTGATTTCGTCTGAGACTCAGCTGTTTTTAGAGATTAGGTTAGGATACAGCGCATGTTACTTAGTGGCAGTGATGGAAGAACATCTTCAGTCAAGCCGTTTAGTGTGCCGTTCCTACCAACTTACGGTTACTATGGTCCATTCATCGCTGTTCCGCAGTAAGAGAATTGAATAACCAGATGGTCTCCGGCATGAAGTGTCGGCATTGACTAACCTGGCTATGCAATACTGCCGTCCTGCGATTTGCGTGAATCAAACTCAATGTGGTCGATACCTTGTGAATTCTGACCACTTGCAGCACAGGCCCTTCTGGTGATACGAACGTTAAGAATATTTATTTTCTTTTTGTTTGTAAAAAACTGTGTGAACAACCGATGTTTTCGGTATAGTTTTTACAGACAAGTACCAGTGAAAGGAAGAAGGCCTTCGCTGTGAAGTTATTTATTCGGAAACGCCAACTGACCGGTTACAGACCATTGAACAGAGAAGCAAAACTCTAATCTGCATCTTAGTTACGAAAACTGGACACAGATCTTCTCCCGAACGAGTGTTCCTAGAGATTCGTTGCCTCCACTCATTCATCGGTCAAATCCAAGCAAATGTTACAAAGTGGCCCCAGGAATTCCACAACAGAATTCCCTTTTTCAGTCGACACAAAGTGAGATTCTACGAACAACACATACTACTCGCCTGCCTCCCTAATCAGTAGTATCACCGTTACACCAGTAGCGCTCCCGGCAGTCGACGTTTCTCACGAGTGAATTAGCCATTGGCGTAGCTGTGAAACGATGAAAAGCGACAGTGTCTGCTATGTTTTCTGACCTTATGATGCAAATGTGTACGTTTCGGTACTCGTGTTCAGATTTGTCTTCTTTGGGGAATATGGTAAGCAAATATATGCAAGCCAGAACTCTTTCCTGGATAATGGGGAGCTGTTCACTACTTTACAACCCCTAATTTTACTGTTCGGTTCCAGACATCTGTAAATTCTGCTAGAAATGATGGACAGATTAACTCTTAATTGTGTGAAGAATTGATCGACTTTGGTGACGCCTTTCTCTCTACGCAAAGTAGATGGTATTTAGCCCTTTTCTTATAGTTTTTTTCCGAATTTGCGCCGGTTCATTGTGTGTTAGGTTTTTCAACCAAATTACAGCCAACCGGTTTTCTTGCCAAAGTTACATAAAATCATTTGAGGCTGGTTCATCATAGCATTCGCAGCGGTACCGCTTTGTTGATCTGAACGGACCAGATTGGGACAATAGCTATGACTTGTTCAGCTTACCCAATACAGATTTCTTTCAACCAGTTTTTCTCCCAAGTTTCCCGGAGCGTATCCTGTTCCGCTTCCATTCGACAAAGGATAAATAATTTGTTGTCGCGCTACTAAAAAAAGCAAGTAGTTGACCGCAAATTTACTGAACATCACTTTTCGTAAGTCTAAGGATGATCGCCTAAGGCAGCTTACATAAGCAAAGAAAATCGGTAACAAAATAAGAAACTGAATAGATTTACAGTACGGATTCTTTTTCAAATGCCGAGTCAGATTGATGTTCATTTAGCCGCATGTTATCCCGCGCCTCCGATTCCCTCCTGTGGCTACCAGACGGGTCGACGTATTCAGAAGGTGTCCTCAAAAAACGAAGCTCTCGGTGTTTAGTAGGTTTCCTATGCCTGCTCATGGTCGATTGTAGTCTTTCGCAGCCGTTTATTTCCGGAAGTTTCTCCCCTGCTATTCGCTCGGCGCTTTGTTTTGAACTAATGGAATGTGTACTTGGAAGCCCTAATCGCTTCATCTCCAAGTTAATCTTTGCTGTACCGTGATCACTTCCAGGCGAAAGCCCTGTGGACGTAGTTTCACTTGCCAAGTGGCTCTTTGATGAATAGCGGTGGTCTGTTTGATGAATTGTACGGTCGTCCTGCTGTCCTTCACCAAGTAGTGCGTCAGTAATCGTCTTGGGTCCAGCAAGAATGTCTGGCTTAGCAATTCTCCTTCTTCTATTTGGTGAGGATGATAAGCGTGGCAGTATAATTGTACAGGCCTCGTTGTCCTCAATGGCTGTCGAACCACAGGAATAGTTCACAGGCACACTCGGCTCGATCGGAATGACTGCAACCTTTGAGTAGATATCCCACAGTTTGGAGTTTGTACCAGTCGCATTTTTACTTCTCGTGCTTTGGTCAAGCCTCCCACTAACCGACGTCATATTTGGACCAATTATAGTGTATTTTCGTCTCTTAACGTCCCTATCGTCGTGGCGGTCATTCAGATTTTTATCTCCTGTTCCCGTGGTCTTCACTTCTATCCTTGACATGGGAAATGTGATCACTGCGTTGCCTTGAGGTGGAGCGAACTGCGCACGGAAACTGTAACAAAACAGAAGCATGGGATTAGAGATCACTGCTAACATTTTTGGAGTAGGTCACTAGCAGTTTGCGCAGTTCACTGTAGGCCTGGCTGGTATCGTACGCGTAACAAAGCTTTTTCACCTTGATTAAGTTTGAAATCCACGAGTGTTAACTTCTGCGAGTTTAATATTTTTCTGTGCCCTTCTGACGAGCATCTGCTTATCTGGTTTTTGCTCGCCACATTTTGTAACAATAGAATTTTCGACATTCTGCCCCTAAAAAAAGGCTGCTCGTGGATGTACTTGCATTTTAGCATTCGGGGAGGATCGTTTCGACTCCGTTTGTGTTTCTTACAGGTTCGTGGTGGGCACATGCTGAAAACACAGGTTCTCGTTCAACGCTAGGACTAACGGGAAATCTGCCATCCTGTTAACTTCAAAGTGTTTTTTCCCAATTACGGACCTAATATTATTAAACTAGAAGGTACCAAAGTAATGGAGCGGTTGTAAGCCGTTTCTTAATCTCAAGCACTCGCATTAACCGGGTTCCAACCAGATTAAGCTGGCGGTTTTCCAGAAAACTTTCAGAAAGTTCCCTACTTAATAAATCATGGATTTGTCTACATTCAGAAATAACAGAAATCAGTTAGTTATTATTGAAATTAATAGGGGATTCCAGGCGTAGTTCTGCTTCCTCATCAAATGGGAATGATTTATGACAATAAAGCCGGTCTTCCTTTCAAGCTAGTAATATAGGGACCTATAATAAGTACGTACAATAGGGGAATACACGAATGAACCATGCCACACTCTTATGTGTCAAAAGCACAATTCTGCAAGGCTTTGTTCCGGCTCGGATACTGTAGAACACCACTATATATACACTTGCGTATATGTATTTCTGAGAGCAGGACTTGACTGTAGGGCGTGCCGCTTGCCGAGGCACCTTACACGACTCGTTCCGCAGGCGAGGGATCATGGGTTCCGTCTGCCTTATATGTACTTGGATACCGTTTTCAGTTTTTTCCCGGTTTCAATACATTATTCAAGCTGCGTTGAAGAAATCAAATTTTCGTTGCATGGCTCAAATAGCAAACAACCATATCTTGTCAATATTTTTTCACGTATTCGAAGTTAGTCGGATAGTGCCCTCCGTGCCACCGTTTTTGAAATCGGGCTGACCTACCACAAACTCAACTGACCTGCGAATACCGAACGGTATTTCATATCAGAATATCAGTGCCTGAACCGCGCTGGACTGTTTCAGTGAGGTCTGGAGGCAACTTTTTAAGCAAAATATGGGAATGTTATTTTGTTTATTGGCCAAACATGAGACAGATGGTGGTGTACATTTAATGTCATTATCGAAATCGGTGCTCTTTAGTAGAAAAAGATGTGCTCGTCCGATAATCGAATGGGATCATGTTTGCAAAATCAGATAAAACTGTTCTGGATTCGTGTGGACTAGTCACGGACTGAAATGTGGTTAGCAAAATCGATGTATTATTAGATTAATGAAACAGACTGGATGGTTCTTCTAAGGCACTCGACACAGTTTTACCAGACAAAAAGTAATTTGGTCTCTTTTGGGATGTTAGGAGGGAAATTGTTTCACATTAGTCCGCTTGCCTTATTACCGATGTGTTGTAAATCCCCGAGGAGGCTAATGGGCATAGTGCGAGAAGGTGGGCGTGCCCGTAACTGGTGATTAGCTTCGGGATAAGTGATCTCATGGTATTTAATTATCTTCATCCATACAATCGTTGAATGTAGACATTGCGAGAATTGGAGAACCACATGTCGGTGTGAACTAAGAGTTATTTTAGGTTTACGACTCCTGGTGGAGCTGCGCGGTTTGGATGAGCTACGTTCACACAATAAACGTTTAAAATCTTTAAAGTTCATTATAAGGACCGGTTTTGTCTACTAGTCCCTTCTTTTACCGAGGCAAGAGTATATGCCAAAAGTAACAATTTTTACGAGCAAACTCACCCAAAAGTTTCGGAATAACGACATTCTCATAGGTTTCATGAAATTCCAAATTGATTGCGTTTTTTGGAACGTATCGTTTTATGCACCAATTTATCAGCTCCCGCCTGCAACGCGCAGCTACCTACCCCTTCCCCCAAATCATCGGTGAACGAAACTGCGGCAGCTACAACCACTGTACGACGAGTACGCGGTTATTACATCTGACAATGATGATGATGAACCAAGTGGCTTTGACCTTCGCTACACTCTTGTCGTGTATAATTCGTCTATACGGGTTTATGTACATGACTAACTCCCGGTACCCTCTGAGGCAGAGAATCAATTTGGCCGGAAAACCAGATGGAAGTAAATTGGGCGGAAGAAGAATCAATTAGGGTTTTAATCCTCGGATTCGACTTTCTCACCTTGACAAATCAAACTGTCCTCTGAATTTTGACTGCACCTGCCAGTGGACTCCGGTTTCTCTTATCAACTATGATTCTAGTGTTTTCCCCCATGACGGTCACTCCTGGAGATCGTGACCTACTTTCAAATTTTTCCAACAACAATCAGTCCAACGTCATTAATGTGCTTACTAAACTTCAGAAAAATAGGAGACTTAGCTGGTACCAAAGCGGAGGACAACAGCAGAAGCGAATACAACAACGAATTGAACCAGGAAACGGTTACTTATACTGGTCTGTTGATGAGTTGGCCTGCTCTTCGCTTTTCTGACCCACTCATCAAAGATCAGGTCGTATTAATCAAAGCGCATCTTAGTTGATGGAAGTATCGCCGGGAAGCTGGGTTATTCAGAATATTAATAGCCGGCAGTTCTTCACAAAATACCTCTCGAATGGAGTACGCTATACATTCATTTTTTCGTCGTCTTGTTGTGCAGCTCCAGATAGCTCGGGGTTTAAGGCGCGAGCTTGCTGACCGGAAGGTCCATGGTTCCAATTCAGCGTGTCTGACTGTTCCTCTCTAGGCTTGGGCAACCTAAAAGTAACTCAGGCCTCTTGCTCTCTTCTTGTAGGTAGCATGTCAGCTATCCACCGAATGGATACTACAGCTGAGCGATTATTATTGTTTTATTATTGATTTCGATGGGACCAAGTTAATCATGTGAGAAGGGTGCATGAATGGCACGTTGTCTTTTTTATGGAACAATAGGTAACTGACTCAGCGTGAACACAAGAAAACAACATGAAGTAATGCAGGATAGAGGCTTGGTCTATGGGAAATTATGTCTACCGCATATAAAGACCCTTCGAACAAAAGTTTTCTATGTTCCCCACTCATACAGCTTCAGTTTGCAGCCTTCATGTGGTAAACAACTAATCGTTCAGCTGTAACACCCTTCAAGCTGCCATGCCACCCGGAGGTAGCACGAGGGCCGAGGTAATGATTCACTGTTCAAGCCCAGACAGGAAGAGCCGAGATGCTGGCGTTGGGTTCGAAACACCGACCTCTCGATCATTAAATTTGATCATTGAGCCACTGAGTCCAAATTTTCCTCCAAAAGCTTCTCGTTTGCATGCGAATTTGGTTTTGATGGGGAACTGAACGGAATCTTGCTGAATATCCTACCATTTGAGGGATAAGGCGACCTTGTGCAGCATATTCGGTCGAAGAAAACCACCATAAACGAGCGATTCAACTGGATTCAAATGAGTCTCCGATCGAAACCCAATTCGAATGCAAACGAGAATATTTTGCGAATTCCGCTCAAATTGATTTCCAGAAGAACATAAAGGTGTTGAGGACTATTTCTGGCTGATGAGTCCAAAGCAGAATGAAACCGATTTCGGGCTGTCGGAGAATTTTCAGTAGTCTAATGAATAGTGCATTGCGTCTTGCCAAATGTGTTCTAGATTTGAGCTCCACTGACTAAGTATTTTTAAGTCTTGCAGGTCATAGCTGTGAAAACCATACTGAAAGTGACTTCTTAAGTAAACTGTTTCTGGTTCCGCAAATTCGTCCTATGTTTACCAGCCTTTTATGCATGCTATTGACAGATATCGTGGAACATCACAACACGACTTACCTTTCCTTATGAGCACCCCTGTCCTCCAACAGAGATTCTAATCGTTTGATATGCTTTCTCAGGTTGTCCGCCTCGTTTTGTAACTTGACAGTTTGTTCCACACAAGCCGGATCGGAACAATGTTGATGCTTTACATGAGGCCGTGTGGAATTCGATTGATAAGCATCCATCTGTCTGTCCTGCACGGCCTGAATAATGTCCTACAACCATGATAAATATGACATGCGTCGTTAAAACTGTGTGCTCAGCATTTTGCTCCTGTCTCTAATCGGTTACGACATAATCACAAAATCTTTCGTCTCCTAGCCGCAATGATGATCCATATTTTGATGGATTACTATCGAAACTGATCGACGGAATGAAAAATAAACACCAGCCTGCCTGTTGCCTCACCCAGGATAATCTTTTGTTACCACATAATCCTGGGAAATGCTTTTAGTATAATCAAATTACATGGTTATGGGAGCTGACGAGATGCACCAAGACGCCGTTCGATCGTCTAGAGGTGATTAGACGTTCGATCACGAATTTTGCCTTAAAAATGAGCGATCGGGTTACTTGTGAATCACATGAACAGCTGAGACCCAAATTGCTTTTTATCATCGTCATTTCACTCTGCGTAACCCCGTCAACTATGGCATGAATGCCTTGCCAAAATTTTGAGTTTCCACAGGGAATCTTTACTTATTTCCGTGATTCTGTGAAATATTTTCTTGGAAAATTTCGTTCTGATCTCCAATTGTACGGAATGTCTCCCTTCATTGCACAACGAAACCGCTTGATGGCTTAATGCCAGTTTACTGAGTCACGTGTCAGAACCAACGGTGCATTGTCGAACACCATAGGACAAAAATGCATATCTGTGTTAGTCAGACCAGGTTCCTGAAGAGAACAGTTCAAACGGAATGCAAAGTTCAACTAGGATCGGTTTTTCACTAGTATTCTTCCGACAATCTTGAGTTTTTGGAGTGTACCCATTCCTCAATTAGAATTTGGATGTGACGAAACCCCTGTTTGATGACCGCGATTGACCGACAGTAAAAATGTAAATGTTTGTCTTCTGTCGCTCAGGTTGTCTCAAGTGGAATTGAACAGATCCTCGACATTATGAAAACCAGCAAACGGTAAATTTTTACAATAATCGATTGCATCGTGTGTTGCATTGCAAGTGAATTTAAACAGATGACGAAGCCCTTCACCATTATCAACGATTGAGCTCTATTCTCCCGTCGGGTTTTCGGGAGATGTCAAAGTGAAATTAACCGTGTTTATTGGTTTTCCGGCTCATTCGAATCTTATTTAGCAGTCTATTGAGTCACACCTCTTTTCTCCCCACGAGTTTTATGTAACCAGAATTTGTAAGGATAATCCATCCGATTCGGAGTTC